GTTTAATGATTTACAGTTTGTCCTCTAATACAAATGGTTCTAGTAAAGTACTTTATTAACCGATTTAAAAAAAGGAGGAGGTTGTCAATTCGTCGAAATCTTTTTTTTAGGTATGCTCACCAATTACTCGAAGACGATTGACTGTTTCGAAGGGTACTTCCCAGGTGGTCCCATTTAAATTTTATCCAAAATCGCTCGAGCGGTTTTTAAAAAATAAACATATTTTTTTAAATAAATTCCTTAATCGAATATGTTATTAATAAAAAACTTTCTCCTTACAAATTACCTGCTTATTACGTCTACACTAAAAATGGAAACATAAAAACTTTTTAAGGAATAAAAACCGACTTCCAGATACTAAAATGTAAAAACAACTAAACGGGGGTTTTTATTCAGAATAGATACCAAACCAAATATTTTTGAAGTCGGTGCCAGCTGACAGTATTTTAAGATATGGATGTCTAATAGGTAAATATGATTAGGTATGAACTCTCATTATAGTTAAAATACTATACATTATTTGAGATATATTTTACGTATCGAAATATATTAGATTTGCTTTGCCACCCGATAGTGGCACCGACTTCGAAAATATCTATGTAATACTATGAAAAAATGATGAAATGATGAAAATACCATGGAACTAGATGGTGCTGCGTGGTAATGTCCTCACATATTTATTTATATTTGTTACTTTTTAGAGCGTAATTTTAGTAGTCAGGTTTTATAACATTGGTATGGTCAATATTATTATTTTTTTCTTCCAATATTTCGAATAATGTGCCTAAAAAATTAGAAACATATGTAAACTAAAAGTTTTAATAACGAATCCTTTTGTATGGTGAAATTTCAGTATCGTTTTTCAAAATATACAATAATTTAAACCAACATTGCAATAAATCTAATGCACTACAAAATTCATCAAAATGTCACTCGTTAGATAGAAGTAACTAAATTCATTGATTGAAGGCAAGTAAAACCGACGAGGTATTTGCTTACACCTGGTGAAGTAAAAATTAATATACACCCTAAGTATATACGGAAATAAGGTTTTAACTGCTGTGTCGTATAACGCTTAGTATATTGACGTGATTGATGATGTTTATACAGAGATGGCTAATGTGTGTATCATGGTTCTATTTGTTGAAAAACTGCAGTTTGACTTATTATTATTGCTGATATAAAATAGTATAAAAAAATTACTATTTCTTCTTTCGAAACTTTAAATTGATTCCAACTTGAATGATCTTGATTGATTCGATATTCAATTATAAAACTAATTAAAATTATAAAAATGTTTAAAATTAAAAAAAAAATTGTAAGTACTTTGGTGCCATTTTACAATTTTTTGAATTAATTTTGTTATTTGTGGGAAGGCTATCTCTCCCGTGACCATGATTGATGCAAAGTATTCGAAACGTCGGGAACCAAAAATCAAAATAAATCCGCAAAAAATGCGAAAAGATAGTTTTATTTAAAATTATTCGAGCATTACAAAAATACACCAAAAATATAAAATTGCATACCTATACATATAATTAAATACATAATATTAAAAAAAATAAGAATTAATGTTTTTTGTACGCTTACTACTCGTTCGATAATGACGAAACTGGTGAGTTTCTGCGTAGGTCCGCGATTCCTGGCCCATAAAGGAAAAATATTTTTTGTATATGTTTGTCCTCCATACGTTTATTAACATTCATCCCTAGGGACGCACTCGAGTAAAGCGATTGTAAGTTGATATGCTGTATACTTATAGAGACAGAGATTGTTTGTTAAATGTATATTGACGTCATGAATTCTCCACCAGTTCGGAAAGAATATTTATTTTATATTAATGATGAGAGTGATTAGTCTAAATAGACTAAAGCATGAAGTTAGTCATTAAATCTCCCTTTAGTATATTTATTTATTTATTTAGTTTCATCTGTCCCGGTGTCTGTCTGTAATCAGATCTTGCAAGTTAATTTTAACCCATTTCCCAGTGTCCAATTGAACTAAGCACGCACGTTTGGTTCTCGTGACTGCATGCAACCTAAAGGCCGTCATTTTTATCCAATATGGCGGACATAAAAAATGGCGATTTATAATTTCTAAAGTGACCCTTATGATATGGGCATTGAATGAAAGGGTTTGCTGAGAAGAATATGAATAAAATGAAAATAAAAAAAGATTAATAAATAAAAATAAAATAAAAAAACATAAAAAACAAGCTTTATTTTAATGCTCTAAAAACAAGGAAGGCCTTTTCTTACGTGCGTGTATAAGTGCGGCCTATTTTTGTTAAATGTTTTTAGGTATAAAGGATCATCAATATAAATTAATTAAAGAGAAAAAATATCCTAAAAGACTCAATAATGAACACACAATTTCATTAAATTACTTTCAAAACGATTTTGAACTCGGTTTAGTTTGTTAAAAGCTATGATTGTTAGAATTAAGCTTAGAACAATATTTTAAATTCATCCTTTAATGTAATAAGCAAATATTAATCATATTGTTTTAAAAGCATAATTTCATAAAATTAGTTCAATTTGGCTGCTTACTTTTTTGCTCAGCTTCTCAACCTTGCTTCACTTAGTCTCTGACACAACTCGTATGGTCTTCACTCCTTTTTTTATATTACACCCACACAGCACTTGATGTGATAGAATTAAAATAGCAATAGGTTGTCTCAAAAGTAAAGC